AGCGACGACTGACGTGGACTCACTTCAGCAGTCATCCAGGTACTAGCAGGCTGCAGGGTGAGTGGGGATAGATAACAGAATGGTAGATAACCTGTCCAGATATATCTATTGTTGTGAGGACTGTTCAATAAACTTGATAAACAAATGATTACTCACCGTGTTTATGTTCATTTGATGAACGAATTGTTAATTGTTCAATATCACTGTTTTTAAACACTATAGTTCACTAAATCACTAGTAATTTAATAACTTGTGAGAGACGAAGTAACAGGTGGTTTGTCAATAAATGGGGCTAGAGAGAAAAATATGTCCCTAAGATATTATGTGTCCGGAGAGAATGAAAGGAGGTTGGTGTTGAGATCATGTGCAATAATGACATTTTTAAAGAGAGATATATACGTAAGGAGAGAGGATTCGAAAGTGCGATCGAGGGCGGTAAAGTGATAATTACTAGGAGGACGGTATATAACGATTTAGAGTAGAGAAAAGTTTCTAAAGGAAACTTGGACAAATAGGTATTCAATGTGAGGGGTGACGGAAGAAGGAGATCTTAAAAGGATTTTAACCCTCAAAATATCATGAACGAACAGACCGACGCCTCCTCCGGTTCGATCAATCCGATCAACACGAAAGAGGGTATAGTCGGGTAAAGAAATCAATGGTGAGGGGATATAAAGTTTGAGCCAATTTTGGGATACTGCTATGATATGATAGATATTGTGGTGAAAATAATCAAGGACTTAAATAGCGTAATGTGCTGGAAGGATTGGGAGTTAACGTGGTAGGATATTAAGGTATTAGTGATGAATAAACTAAATAAAGGACAAATAGTCGGATGGAAGCGAACAGAGTTAAAATTAGAGGAGGGGTTGTATTTTTAGTCAGTATATTGCAAAATAAAGAAAACAGTAAAATAGAAAAATAATTGTAAATTATATCTAACAATTGTAAGCAGGAGTGCAGTTAGAAAGAAATATGATTTAATTTCATATAAAATAAATAGCTTCTGTATTTAAAAATAATGGTAAAACAGTAAAATAACACAAGAAAAAGTAAAATAATGAACATATTTTTTTTCACCTTCCCTACTAGTCAGCAAGAAATAATTTAAAAAATTAATATTAATATCAAACAAATAATATAATTAATCAAATCCAGACTTATATTAATACTATTTACACTAACTTGGAATAAATACGTCATATTACTTACAATACAATGTTAAAAATCGAAGAATAAGAAATAAACATATCGATTGTATACATGAGTAAATATATCGATGTAGCTGAATTTGTACCGCGCATTTTTATTTTATTTTCTGATTTATTTAAAAAACCTCGTCAATTCATTTTTATTACTTGTTGTTTTCTAAATATTCATTAGTATATTTCATTTTAAAATGAATAAAGCAGAATTGAATAAAGTAAAATTAAAAAAGAATAAAAAGTCATAAAGAGGAAGCTATTGATCCATGGGTCGACAATTTGTGGCCGGTCAAAGCTAAACGGACCTAAATCAAAATCTCAATTTGCTCTTTCTTGGCTCATATTTTCCTCGGCGAGTATAACCACTATAAAAATGAAACAATCCGATTGGTATTTGTCACGCCTCTTTCCTCACATTTCCGAACGTTGCAGAGATAGCCACGAATTACAGAAAATGTTTATTAATGGCTATAACATCTATATATATTTTTAAACATTTTAAAATAAAAATATTGCCTCGTTTAGCAAATTAAAACTAAAAAATATGACTTAAAATTAAAACGCTATCTGTGTAACGTGAATGCTTTCTCATATTAAAAAAACAAAATAATTTTTATACAATTTATTTAAATTTCTAATACCCTCCATTAGCTCTCATTAAAACACCCTATCGAAAAATTAACGTAGTAAGTTTTATTAAAAATGACATTTTTAAAAATTTATCATTAAATTCACTTTTGTGGCTTTTAACTCATGTTAACCATTGCTACCAAGAAACGTTTTTTCAACCATATCCGACGAAAACCAATTCCCCAAGGTCAACCTCGACAATTATACATTTTGTAAAATTTTCTGTTCCTATCTACTAAAAATCACATATATTTTTATACTTTTCATTTGTTTGAGATTATTACATATTTTATTATCTATTATATGTTCTAAGTTTAGTTCCAATATTTTGTTTTCTCACTTTTAATTTGTTGCTTGTAATTTGCTTCAGTTCACTATCACTAAGCAATTCGCATTACAATATTTTAATCCACTTCGGTATAATCGAATTATCCGTTATCTTTCTTTGATAGTGACCTTGACAAGGATAGAATCCAATTGATGAATGCTTGGCTGGATCACTACCCCAAGACCTGATGGGTGGGTGAAGGGAAAAGAAAAGAGAGAATAAGGGAGAGGAAGAGAATTAGCCGATTGAAGAAGAATTGGTCGAAGAGAGTAGTGAGTCTCAGGAGTCCCGCCATTGAACGATCTTCCACTGATTTGTTTTCCCACACCAGCCACATCCTACTCATAATAAATAAATCCGTTCCAATCTTTGACCCCCCTGAGTTGCCTACTTACGAGAGCGATTTCAGTTGGTCCCTGATTAAATATTAGGGTTAATTTCTTCCAAATCCTTATGTAATTAATAAAATTTATAACTACATTGTAAAAACCAGCAAGTAAATTTGTTGTAAGAATTTTTTTTTTTAATCTTATTTGATTCAGAAGAAAATACTTTTGCCTCAATCATATTGGCACTGAATATATGAGATGTGAGAAACTCATTCATACAATTTATACAATAACAAAAATAGTAGAAATTATAAATAAACAAAAATAAATGAGAAAAATAACTGCAGTTTAATGCTTGCATCGCTCTGTCTTTGTCTCCTTCTCAACTGGCTAATTCTGCAAATACTGCTGCTATAATTTGTGAACAGTGAGCTTTTGTACATTTAAACATTTTCACATTAAATAGTAAGGTGAGAAATATTTATTAACAATTATGTTTAATAGTTAATTGATACTAGTTCGTTAGAGACAGCACAGCTGGTCGGTAATTCCCTTTCTCTTCTTATAACTATTCTTCTCTTCTTTAACTGTAAATAATATAAATAGCTTAGTTTTAAGAATTTATTTCGTAAATTTTTAGTGTTATAACAGGTACAGATTTTTTTTTATTCTTTTTTTTTTCTCTCATTGTGAAACCTGACAATACGTCTGGGGAAGAATCGGAGGAAGAGACACCATTTTCCGAAGTCAGTGAGACCAATTCACAATATTTAAAAAGAAGGACTCTTCAAAAGCGCAATCGAAACTCTGCCACCGGCTCAGCGAGCAACTCACCAAACAAGAAAAAAAGATCGGCTAAATCAAAAAAGACATCTGAAACAAACAAAACTACACCAAACACGCGTAGCAAAATTACTTCAGTCATCAAATCAGAATCAATTTCACCAAACACCTCAATCAGTAACTCTGTTACAGCCAACAATACTACAAACAAGTTTCTGAAGCCATAAGAAATTTGTGATCTTGAACCGCCATCCATCTTCGTCGCAAAAATTGAAAATTTTATGTCCTTCGGACAAAAAATCGCTGATCTGATTGGGCAGCCAAATTTTACATGTTTTTCCAGAGTCAATGATATTAAAATAAATACCAACTATAAAGAAAATTACAAAATATTAATTTGTTTAATATGCTCCGTTCCTAATCCTATTAGGGAGATGTGTCTTTATAGGTTTAGGGATGCTGTTTCAGGGTCTGGGTGATATGATAGGATGGCGGTATCGTCATCAAATGTTGCTAGAAGGGTATTAGGGTGGACTGGTATGTCAGCTGTGAAAAGAATGTAGAGAACTTGACCTAAAACACTGCCTTGTGGAACACCATCCTCAACTGGATAATAATTGGAGAATTCGGTGCCGCAGCGGATTTGAAAGGGAGGATTTGAGGATTGGGTACAAGGATTGGAGTAAATAGGTTTTGAGCTTGATAAACAAGCGATCGTGCCACACCCGGTCGAAAGCTTGAGCTACGTCCAGAAAGGCAGCAAGCAATATTCTTCGCTTTCTAGTGCTGCGGAAATATGATCGACTACTCGGGTTCCTTGTTGGAGTCCAGAAAGGCACTAGTGCATTATTGCTTGTTTTCAAGCGCAGAGGATATATGGTCAACAACGCGAAGGATTTGTTGAACAGTGGAACGTCTCTAGGGGAATTCTAGCTGATGGGAAGGGATATTGTGGGGTTCGAGAATGGGTAGGATACGTTTGAGAAGGACTTATTCAAAAATTTTTTAGAGGATCGGGAGCCAGCTTATTGGTCTATAGAGTTTGTCAGGCAGCTATCTATTACTTACCGGACTTAGCCTATTGGCACCGTAATAATTTAATATATTAGATTTTTTCAGCTTATAGTTTGTTTAGACCTTAATGAAATCGTTTATGGCACCATCCATACTGGGATAAAGATGCTAAGTATAGCCCTGATATTGTGACTTGACCATCCAGTAAAGTTTCAGGCATATTATAAAATGGAGATTTCGTCTTTTTAAAAGTTGTTGGATCTCATGGAACCGTACTTTGAACACAGCGTCTAATTGAAGTTTGAAAAGAAACTGGACGAGTGAAGAGTGAGAGTCGGATTAGTCAGGGGTGGGGTGGGGCGGGACGAGTATGTAAGACCAGACCATTAAAAATGTACGCTGAAATCTCCTACCGGCTACTTCTCAAGAGTAGCAAGGGTGCTGGACGCACATATTCGGTGTGAAATCTCTCTTTTCTAGTGTTTTAGATGCATGCATTTTGCGTCTTGCATCTTTGGTGCGAAAGCTGTCTTAAGCTTGCCACTTCCAAAAAAAGGCTTAGTTTCGGCTCTAATCTATTTTCATAAAATGTTAAGGTAACCGGTGTTACAAAAAAAATGTAAATACAATTTTTTTCACAAATTTCATCTCATTAACAACCAATGATTAATTATTAATTTTGTTTGTATATTCAACATGGGAATGTTGCAGGCTGTGAAGGGAAACATGGTTCGGGAGTGCAAATGCCACGGGGTCTCGGGTAGCTGCACGATGCGCACCTGCTGGAAGGCACTCCCACAGTTCCGGCAGATTGGGGATCACCTTATGCGCAAGTATTGGAGGGCGAGGGCAGTATCACTCATCGAAGGAATCGGCCTGCAAACCAAGAGGGGCAAGACCCGCCCGCGGCGATCGGACCTGGTCTACCTCGAACCTTCACCCAACTACTGCGAGCAGGATCTCAACGCCGGCTCCCTTGGTACTGTTGGAAGGTTCTGCAATCGTTCATCTACAGGTAAAATCTCAGAAAATATCTTATATATTCAGTTATCTTTAGCTCCGAATGGAATACCAATTTGATCTTGTGTCTAATTTAAAACTATTTGGATAATATTGAGTTTCGCGATAAGAGACCTTTGAATTAAACAACTTCATACATAAACAAGTTAAAGATCAAAAAAAAAAAAAAAAAAAAACCTGATTCCGTAGCATAATAGGGATCTGACCTTAATGTTCCTAGGAAATCAATTACGCTCTGAATGATACTTAAAAGTTGCTAAAATCGGTTTATCCCGTTAGGTTTTACCAGACATTTTGTTGTTTTCCACATGGTATTGTTACCAAGGTTTTGTTACTGGTATGTTTTCCTTATACAGTCTGTTTCTTAAGACTCATTAAAACAAAATTTAGTTCAATTATATATTTTATTCATGAAAGAAAATGCAGCTGGTAATTCATTCATTTAAAATTAAATTTGTAGCATATCTATGATTTTTTACTGTTGCAATATTTATCATAGTCGATTCTAGCGGGTGCTAATTATGAAATTATGAAGTGATGTGTTGCCCACTTAATTAAACTTTTCCATATTCCAATATTTTGAGATATATATTATTTTTTAAAATGTTAAGCATAAGTTCTACTTTTAATTAGCTTTTTTATGCATGGATTGTTGTTGATAAGAGCCTGGAATATAATACGGTTACTTTAATTTTATTTTATTTTATGGTTACTATGATTAGTTAGTTTAAGATGTGAGTTTGAATTTGTAAGGTCTATAGATTCCAAAGAAATCACAATACGTACAAACTTGAAGTATGCCGGGCATGTTGGAACAGACCTTTCGCAATATTTTGGTCCAAACAACGGAATAAGACAGTGATGCACTTGCTTGAATCCACTTCCAAGTGCCCCATTGAACATAAGAGTCGACCCTGATATCGAATATACTGGAAAGTTAAAAAAAGGCGAGGACCGGGGTTCCCAATCTCAAATTGGATATCATTTTCACACAAAGCGGCCTCCAAACCATATAAGTCGACCCTAATATCGATCTAATACAAAAAGTTGGCGCCTGGGGGGGCCCAACCTCAAATTGGATATAATTTTCATAAAAAGGGCCCCCTGGGGCCCGGGGTGCCTAATCTTAAATTCGATATCATTTTCATAAAAAGCGTCCCTCAAAACATATAAGTCCACCTTGATATCGATTTAATCCGAAAAGTTAAAAAAAAGTGAGAAAATAATTTTCTTAAGAAGCCCCCCCTTGGGCCGGGGGTACCCAATCTCCAATTGGATATAATTTTCGTAAAAAGTGCCCCATAAAACATAAGAGTCGACCCTGATATCGAATAAACAGGAAAGTTAAAAAAAGTCGGGGCCTGGGGGCCCAATGTCAAATTAGATATCATTTTCATAAAAAGCGCCCTTCCAAAACATATAAGTCGACCCTGATATCAATTTAATCCGAAAAGTTACAAAAAGTTAGAGCCTAGGGGGGGGAGAAATCTCAAATTGGATATCATTTTCATTAAAAGCTCACTCTCGGGCCCTAGGTGCCCAATCTCAAATTGGATATCATTTTCATAAAAAGTGTCCCATAAAACATAAGAGTCGAGACCCTAATATCGATTTAATAAAAAAGTTAAAAAAAACCGGGGACCGGGAGCCCAATCTTAAGACCGATATCATTTTCATAAAAAGCGCCCCCCCAAAACATATAAGTCGACCCTGATATCGATTTAATCCGAAAAGTCAAAAAAAGGTGAGGACCGGGGTTCCCAATCTCAAATTGGATATCATTTTCATAAAACGCCATTCCAAAACATATAAGTCGACCCTGATATCTATTTAATCCAAAAAGTTGGCGCCTGGGGGGGGGGGATCTCAAATTGGATATAATTTCCATAAAAAGCGCCCCCTGGGGCCTGGGGTGAACAATCTCAAATTGGATATCATTTTCATAATATGCGCCCTTTCAAACCATATAAGTCGACCATGATATCTATTTAATCTGAAAAGTTAAAAAAAGTCGGGGCCCGGGGGGCCTAATCTTAAATTCAATATCGTTTTATAAAAAGCGTCCCCCAAAACATATAAGTCCACCCTGATATCGATTTAATCCGAAAAGTTAAAAAAAGGTGAGAAAAAAATTTTCATAAAAAGCGCCCCCTGGGGCCCGGGGTACCCAATCTCAAATTGGATTTCATTTTCATAAAGAGTGTCCCATAAAACATAAGAATCGAGACCCTGATATCGAATAAACTGGAAAGTTAAAAAAAGTCGGGGCCTGGCGGCCCAATCTCAGATTGCATATAATTTTCATTAAAAGCGCACCCTCGGGTCCTGGGTGCCCAATCTCAAATTGGATATCATTTTCATAAAAAGTACCCCATAAAAAATCAGAGTCGACCCTGATATCAAATAAACTGTAAAGCTAAAAAAAGTCGAGCCCCGGGGGCCCAATCTCAAATTGGATATAATTTTCATACAAAGCGCCCTCCAAAACATATAAGTCTACTCTAATATCGATTTAATCCAAAAAGTCGAGGACCGGGGGCCCAATCTTAAGACCATATCATTTTCATAAAAAGCGCCCCCCCCCCAAACATATAAGTCGACCCTGATATCGATTTAATCCGAAAAGTTAAAAAAAGTCGGGGCCCGGGGTTCCCAATCTCAAATTGGATATCATTTTCATAAAGAGCGCCCAACAGAACATATAAGTCGACCCTGATATCGATTTCATCAGAAAAGTTAAAAAAAGAAAAAGGCCCGGGGGGCCCAATCTTAATTTCGATATCTTTTTCATACAAAGAGCCCCCAAACCATATAAGTCGACCCTGATATCTATTTAATCCGAAGAGTTAAAAAAAGTCGGGGCCCGGGGTTCGAAATCTCAAATTGGATATCATTTTAATAAAAAGCGCCATTCCAAAACATATAAGTCGACCCTGATATCTAATTAATCCAAAAAGTTGGCGCCTGGGGGGGGGGGGCCCAATCTCAAATTGAATATCATTTTCATAAAAAGCGCCCTTCCAAACCATATAAGTCGACCCTAATATCTATTTAATCCGAAAAGTTGGCGCCTGATGGTACCCAATCTCCAATTGGATATAATTTTCATAAAAAGTGCCCCATAAAACATAAGAGTCGACCCTGATATCGAATAAACAGGAAAGTTAAAAACAGTCTGGGCCTGGGGGCCCAAACTAAAATTGGATATCATTTTCATAAAGAGCGCCCAACAGAACATATAAGTCGACCCTGATATCGATTTCATCAGAAAAGTTAAAAAAAGGCTAGACCCGGGCTGCCCGATCTCAAATTGGATACCATTTTAATAAAAAGTGCCCCCTGAGACCCGGAGGGGACCAATGTCAAATTGGATATCATTTTCATAAAAAGCGCCCCCCGAGGCCCAGGGTGCCTAATTTCATATTGGATATTATTTTCATAAAAAGTGCCCCCAAAACATATAAGTCGATCCTGATATCGATTTAATCCAAAAAGTTAAAAAAAGTCGGACCCGGGGGCCCAATCTTAAGACCGATATCATTTTCATAAAAAGCGCCCCCTCCCCCCAAACATATAAGTCGTCCCTGATATCGATTTAATCCGAAAAGTTGGCGCCTGGGGGGCCCAATCTCAGATTAGATATAATTTTCATAAAAAGCGCCATTCCAAAACATATAAGTCGACCCTGATATCTATTTAATCCAAAAAGTTGGCGCCTGGGGGGCCCAATCTCAAATTGAATATCATTTTCATAAAAAGCGCCCCCTGGGGCCCGGGTTGCCCAATCTAAATTGGATATCATTTTCATAAAAAGCGCCCTTCCAAACCATATAAGTCGACCCTGATATCTATTTAATCCAAAAAGTTGGCGCCTGGGGGTGCCCAATCGCAAATTGGATATCATTTTCATAATAAGCGCCCTTTCAAACCATATAAGTCGACCCTGATATCTATTTAATCCAAAAAGTTGGAGCCTGGGGGGGCCCAATCTCAAATTGGATATCATTTTCATAAAAAGCGCACCCTGTTGTGGCCCGGGGTGCCCAATCTCAAATTGGATATCATTTTCATACAAAGCGCATTCCAAAACATATAAGTCGACCCTGATATCGATTTAATCCGAAAAGTTAAAAAAAGTCGGTGCCCGGCGGGCCTAATCTTAAATTCTATATCATTTTCATAAAAAGCGCCCAACATAACATATAAGTCGACCCTGATATCTATTTAATCCGAAAAGTTACAAGAAGTTAGAGCCTGGGGGGGCCAATCTTAAATTGGATATCATTTTCATTAAAAGCGCACTCTCGGGCCCTGGGTGCCCAATCTCAAATTGGATATCATTTTCATAAAATGTGCCCCATAAAAAATCAGAGTCGACCCTGATATCGAATAAACTGGAAAGTTAAAAAAAGTCGGGGCCCGGGGTGCCTAATCTTAAATTCGATATTATTTTCATAAAAAGCGCCCCCCAAAACATATAAGTCGATCCTGATATAGATTTAATCCGAAAAGTTAAAAGAAGTCGGTGCCCGGGGGCCCAATCTTAAGACCGATATCATTTTCATAAAAAGCGCCCCCCCCCGAAACATATATGTCGATCCTGATATCTATTTAATCCAAAAATTTGGCGCCTGAGGGGGCCCAATCTCAAATTGGATATCATTTTTATAAAAAGCGCTCCCTTGGGCCCGGGGTGCCCAATCGGATATAAAAAAATTGGATATAATTTTCATAAAAAGTTCCCCATAAAACATAAGAGTCGACCCTGATATCGATTTAATCCGAAAAATTAAAAAAAGGCGAGACCCGGGCGGCCCAATCTCAAATTGGATACTATTTTAATAAAAAGTGCCCCCTGAGACCCGGGGGGGGACCAATGTCAAATTGGATATCATTTTCATAAAAAGCGCCCCCCGAGGCCCAGGGTGCCTAATTTCATATTGGATATCATTTTCATAAAAAGTGCCCCCAAAACATATAAGTCGAACCTGATATCGATTTAACCCGAAAAATTAAAAAAAGTGGAGACCCGGGCGTCCCAATCTCAAATTGGATACCAT